CTACATCCTGTGGACTTTATCTCCAATATTTTTTATGCTTTCAAAATCATGTATCTGAAGTACTGCACCACATTTCACGAATAATAATAACACAGTTTTTACTTGTATCTAAACTAGAAGTGCAGTGCTCTGATCTGTGAACACTTAAGAGTCTCAAAGCAAGTGGTTTTACTGTAGACAGGAAACAGCTGACACGATCGCGCTCACAATTTTATAGCCTGTGGTCTGCAGACATCCTGCTACAGTCTTGGCGATTGGAGATTTTTAGTTGTTTTTTTTTTAGCTTGCTAAATTCCACCTGTATTCCCTGGGCTCATAAGATTCTCCTCGATTCTCCTCGTATCTGTCTGTGGTGTACGCTTTTTGTCGCACATTTAAAAATCGTTTAAGACCAAAAAATCCTGTAAAGTGTGGCAGCCTTAAGTTATTTGGTATAAGCAAGTAATCAAAGTAAAATCAAGAAACTAATTGTATGTGTAAAAAACAAAACAATTAAACAAGCTTTAAAGAAAAAGAAAAACACAGAGGACTGAGAAATAGCACAGCAAGCAACAGAAAACCACCTTTAAAGCAGCACAGATTGTAGGATTTTACAGGGGACATTATTCCTGCAAAGCAAACCTGCTTGACATACCTAAGGGGTGCCTATCTACATACAAAGACAATATAATGTAAGGAATTGCCTTTCAAGAAAACTCTTTGACCTCACATTCAAATCAGGATCATATGGTGTAAGTGACCACTTTGCTAACCATCTTCCTTTTTTGAAAATCTTCACAAATCTTGTAACAGCGCTCGCATTATATACAGGTCTAAAAAGCAATGTGAAAAAGAACGGGGCTGTATAAGGTGTACAACAGAACAGAGTGTGTTGCATCAGGGACCAAATCCAATAATGTATACATTGAGTATGGGAGCCCTTTGCTCTGTCCTTTAGAGGATAAGCAGTCAACACAAGCTCCTCTGCAGCACACATTTCACACAGAGACTACAGTACAAAGACTCCCTGTGACGTCTGCACATTCTGATAGCACAGGCTTCAGCTTATGTGCATTTGTGGCTCGTGTGTTTGGCAGATGAAATCCCAAACTAGGATCAATGTCAGCTGCACGGTTGGAGGCTTTAAACTGATAACAGCTGTGTCACACTATACATCTTAATAAGCCCCAGTCCTATTCAGTGAGTACAGAGAGGAGCACTGGCAGTCAAGCAGGAGCAGGAAGACAGGCACACAAATAGATAGAGCTATGGAATACAATAAGCTGTAAGACATCGAGCAGAGGAGATGTGAATGCATTTATGTAGGTACAATGTGAATTCTGAATTCATAAGAAAGCAATATGCAAGATCATGACACCAAATCCAATTGGCTTTAAAAATGTACATAACTGCCTGTGTGCAATAAGACTATTCATGGGTTTCAGACAAACAATTCTTTCCTGATTTGAAGGACTTTGTGAGGACTCATAGAGGACCTATCCCCATTCAAAACATACAGTATTTTGATTTGAATATCTTAATTGCTATGACATGGAGGACAGTTGTCATAGCTTGTAACCCACGAATATGTTATGGGGATAGAATTAATTTATTATTAGTGTATGAAAGCAAATAATTACTTTTCATATTACAATTAAAGTTATCTAAAATCTATGATAGGCATGTGATGCTGCTAAGCCAAATTACAGTTCAGATCTGTGGAGAAGTGGAGAGAGCAGTTTATAGCCAATTTACATGGAAACGTCTCTTATTTGGCCCGGAGAAGGGGGCCAAAAAAGCATGAGGATGTTTTATCTTTGTATAATTTTTGGCTAAGTTTTGTACTGTGGTTTCAAAGCAAGTAACCACTTACACACCTAACCAAAGTTCATCAACGAGGGGACTCTCTTGCCTTGCCCAAAGACACAATGGCAACATACTGACAACAAGACCCTCTGATCAATAGAACAGTTCAACTGAGTTTGCCAACATGTCATCTCAACACATCAAACGAAATCACCACTGGACAAATTGTACCCATAAAATATTCACAAATCTCAACACAAGCTTATGGAATGACCCAAATATAAAATATGAGAAAAGTTAACACCAAGTCGCTTTCAAACTCAATAATGCCTTCAGTACTTCATGGAGTAATTTGGCTGTGAAAAAATCTCAACATGACCTTAAAAAGTTCTGTGGAGCTATATGTTTAGTGCATAATTAATCATGTAAAATGACCTCATTCAATCACATACAATAATAGTGGTTTAAGGCTTATTCAAATGCACTTAATATCCTTGAAGTTGTGCAATAGGACACTATGACTAACAATTGAAACTTACCAAACTATACATTAGTAACACCTTCACATAGGCCATTGGCATCAGTCAGTTACATCTTAAATCTTGCACCACTTGAAGTCTAATTACTGCACTTAAAGAAGAACTGTAAGACTTGCAAGGACAATGAAAATATTTAGTGAAATGTCTCTTAAGATATCTATTGCAACTATTATCATTTTAATTTGGCTAATAGGAATAATATCACCAAAGCTCCCAATTACCGGGAAGGAATTGTCACTTTGAAAAACTTAACATTCACAAAAGGAAAGTAAAAAGTTGTCCAGACTTGCAGACTAAGGCGCAGTGCCCTCTGGCTGTTTCGACTATTGGTTTGGCACTTCTCTGAGCTGGGATTTCAACTCGCTAACAACTGGCTGTGTACTGCTGAGAAACTGTGAAAGCGGCAGCCCAGTGTGGTGCAAGCAGACAGAGGAGAATCAGCAATTTAAGACAAAACATAAGAGAAGTAATGTCGCTTCTTAGAGACTCTCTTTGTGATGAGGCTTTGTGTCGAGTTTCAGTACTTCCACATATGTTCAAACGACAGTAGCATGCTATCACTTAATTAACACCCAAGGACAGTTGAATATAACAAATGAGAGAAACACTGTGTAAGTTTTCTGGTGAGGTTCAGTCATCTGCTTGTCCCCATGGAGATGCAATTACTTGGTCTCAATATGCCATTAAACCAATCCATCTTGCATTTGTTCATTTACAAGTGTGTTAATTGCAAAAAAGAGAACAAAAATCCTACTATCTTTAATTAACACTCAAAGACAGTTGATATTAACTAAAGACAGTAACACTATGTAACTTTTTCTCTTTTCTGGTGGGGGTTCTGTCATCTGCTTATCCCCATGGAGATGTAATTGCTTGGCCTCAGTATGGTATTAAAATGATCTATCTTGCATTAATTCATGTACAGGTTTGTTTATTGCAAGCAAAAATAGAAAGAAAAAACTCTTACTGTGGAATCACATGTCCCCAGATCTGACCTGTAACTTGACCTTGTGGTGTCACCTTGTCTCCATGGAGGATACTGCGGAACATTCAAGACAAAGACCATTTAAATGTTGTAAAAGATAAACAGATGACTTTTAAACAGTAAGTGGAAATAATGGAGCTACTTTTAGTACTTCTTTTCTCAGGTTCTGAAACTCACAAATCAAGTTATAATTCACCTAGGTAATAACTGTGTGGCAGTCCAAAACAGTTTTTCTCTAACAAAACTTTGAATGTGTTGGAGTGAACATTTGTCAACTGGAAGCATATTATTCTGCTAAAATATGCATCCAATTACCTCTTTATCCTAACCCAATTTGCAACATCCTCTGTAACCTCTTGTTTGCCCCATGCCTCAAACAGAAATAGCAGAATGCACGTCCATTCTGTGCAGTGACGTGTGTGACTTTGCAGCAGGGACAGGAGCAATGTTATGTGAGCTCCCAGAGGTTTGGTGTTGGGGCTGTACAGACACTGTGCACCTGCCCAATGGACATCAGCTGTCCCGGGACGACCCTATGTCCCAGAATGAACTTACTTTTGTGGTCATTTAGTCATCAGAGACACTGCAATGGAGGTTGCTCTCCAAGTTAGACACTCAAATGACCAACACTAATTGAAAAAATTTAATAATAATAACTAAAACTATCCTGTATGGCATTTATGAGCTAATCCAAGTCTGTCTAAAATGTAATTGCAAGTGGATGTACAGTTACAAAATAATCAATATAGTCTGGGAAGCGACAAAAATTCATGGACTTTAAATGAAAAAAAAAAAAAAAAAAAAAGCCTGCACTGCCCTCTAGCGGAAAACAATGCTAATGACCATAATAAATGAATGTGGCTGTGTGCTTTTAACAACTATTTAACACTGTTGCTGCCTCTAGGCCAAGGCGCTCTTTTATTATTTTTTCCTGGTTTAATAAAGGATAAATGAATGAAGTTAAATCAGTTAAAAACAATACAGAACAAATAAAGCAAATTCAAATAAAGTGACGCTGTTTGTTGAATAAAAATGAAAAGAATAAAGTCGAAAAGTTGCTTTCTACTTATAAAAAACGTCGTAATATTCTGTTTCTGTGAGATACGACGTCGGTGAGTTCATTTCATTTCGTCAGTGTTTTTTGGCGGGCTGAGTCGACAAATAATCGTTTAAAACTGTGACTGCACTTAGAATTTAAATAATCGTGATTATAAGATTTTTTTCTTTCCCCAAAATCGAGCAGTCTTACCTAAATGTATTTACTTAATATATCTCTTCATCCATGACAAATCCATAAAATATCACGTGAACGATTTCCTATGCCTATTTGATCTTCAGGTGAGCTTTCTACCAGCAGATGGCGCTGCTGTCATTACCATGAAAAGTGTAAACGGTGAATGATTCTCTGGCTCTACTACAGCATGTCTGTCTTTTCTGTCTAATATTATTTAACTCTAGTTCAGTTGTTATTATGAATGATTACTCGGGGGTCAGAATTGTAGACTACAAAACCGCGCACATCGGGAGCTGAGCCTGAGCTACTGGACGTCCGAAACAAAGAGGTTTAACCCACCCACGAGGGAACGCCCTCGTCCCGCCCCTCACCTTTACTCTAATTCTGATTGGTTCAATTGAGGTTCTGCGATTCTCTGATTGGCTCCGTGGTTTGGTTGTTGAATGCCTGTTGTTCACACTCGTTTTGGAGTAGGAGCGCCCCTTGACAGTGGATTGCTTTGATTCATGTTTTTGTACACGAATTTCTCACTCTGGAAGATTATTTTAATTATATGCTTAACGAGAGGAGCGCATGAAGGTAGGGCAATTTTAAATATTTTATTTTATTTTGTATTGTTTGTCAAAGTATCTATAATCTCACTTGCCTCGTGCAATATTTGGGTTTAGCCTTGCCATTTCCCGTCAAGTTACTCATCCATATCCAAGTTGTGTGTTTTTTTTTTTTTTTTTTTTTTTAATGCATTCTAAGATCTTGTAGTCAATGTAAAATGTCAAGTCTTTTCTGAGAGACGTGGTACTACTAAGTTCATTTTTTACTTATGCACCTTTTTTCATGATTGATGCAATATCGATTTTGTAATTTTCAGATGGCAGTCAATATAGGTAGTAGTTAACTAAGGTTATTTTTGCTGGTTATGTGTTATTCTAAATCGAAATATAAGGACTATTGCCTTGGTTTTAAACAAAGGGTGTTGAGGCAGGTGGATCTGTTTCTGAGCAACCACTGAGGCAGTGTATTGCCTTGGACAAAATGAACACTATCTTCAAATCATGTTTTTCTTTTGTCTTTGTGGGGCAGTGTAAACTAATTTCACTGACTGGTGCCTTTTGTGATATATATACAGCACATATCATAAATTTTTATATAGCCTTTGCCTCTTGGTTTATGTGAGCCATGTGTGCATACATTTTTAGTAGTTGTGTTGAAGATGATGTCAGTTACCTTTGTTATTACTTTTACTGAACGTATAAACTCTGTATAAAACAATCTTAACATTGTTTAGGACAAGGGATTATTTTTCACAAGGAAGTTGTATTGTGTTGGCTATAAACACAAAGGGAAATGGAATATTTTATGAGATCACTATCATGCCTTCTTCAAAATGCCAACCATTGCACTTGATCAGAAAAGCTTATAAAGCTATCTAAAGAGTTAGGACAGTATAAATGTGTTGTATTCACACTTAATACTGTGATATGTGCAAAAACAAATTTGGAAAATATTTAATAATGTTCCCACCAAAACCCTGACATCAGTCATTTTAAATCCTCAGCTGTGAGCTGTGGTCTGGCTAAACCTTACCCTTATGTTTATAGTATTAACACATTTTTGGAGATTCTGATTCCCTTTTCTTCACTTTTTACTTCAGTTGTATGAATACAGAAATGTTGATGAATGTTTGAAGTTGAGGAGAGTAATTCATTATGTCCAAGTTTCATAAAATGCGTTAAAGTAATTGAGAAAATACAAATATAGCCTCGAGACCAGATAATTATGGCTTTGGCCTTTCTTACCCTGACCACAACTGCCTATGAGTTAAGCCTGCACACTCCACTTTAAAATCTGCAGCTTTATCCTACCTGTGCACGCACTGCTTAAACATATGGATGGTTTCTCTTTACTGTTCATAAAACTGGAATTCACCAGGAACACTTGAGTCAAGATCTTGATCCTGATAGGACTTGGTTTCACATTGCGTCTTTTGTATTTGCTAAAGTCTACCAGTGTGCACCTGTGTAATCACATTCTCTGTGTCTAGGAGAAGATGAACGTGGAGGCTCTGAGCAGGCCTGAGCTGCTGACTCTGCTCAGTATCCTGGAAGGAGAGCTGGAGGCCCAAGATGTGGTCATCCATGCGCTAAGGGTGAGATAACCAACCACTATATTGTATTTACTGTAATTAGACTTTCTCACAACTTACTTACAGCCTAAAATTAATCATACTTGGGGATTTTTACACTTAATTTATGGGTCCACACTAGTTCAACAACAACTTGCTAAAGTAAAATAGTAGAAGCAGTTGTAGCAAATAAACTAGTGTTCCACAGTGTTGTAGCTCTGTAGTTCTTATTAAAGGCCCTGCTCTGGGCCTCACCTCTTCTCAGGTAGATCAGGATGCTTACATTACCTGCTTTGTTCTTCTAATTTACTAACATAGCATTAGCTAATTATAGTCTTACTTTTTTCTTGGAGTATGAATTTAGATTTAATGGTTTATAATTATACTTGGCTAATATATATGGGGAGTAGTTTGTTCATAGTGACATGGTTAGACTCAAAATCCCTATAAATGAGAAACTCTCCAAAGTGTCTCAGGTGAAAAGGAGTGGCTGTGTACACAAGGCAATCTGTTCTTATAAGACAATGGTAAAGGGAGGGTTTCCACTGCCTGTTATTACAATAGAGAGCCAGATAAGAGCATTTCAACAACCCCAAGGGGCCATGGTTCCACTGGGTATGTCAGTTTAAAGCAAATGTTAATGCCATAGAATTTACCACAATCTAATTATAAAGGAGACAAGGAAGCGATCAAGAGCACAGAACTCTTGACTTATCTGAGAGTGTGGAAAAGCAAGAGCAAGACAAGGCATAGCTAGACCAGTTCAAGACCTAAAACACAATATCATAACCAAAGACTGCATGTATACAGTCAATGATCATAACATTCTAGGTTCAATAGAAATGTCAGATTTGTTTGTTAATATTACTCATAGTAAATATTTTGAATTGGTTAAGTTCAAGACTACAAAATTGTCAAAAAAGGTAAATATTAATTTGCCCTTGAGTCTCTCCTCCATCCTGTGACCATTTCCTCTCTCCCTCACACACACATTTACATTATGGGAGGTCTTTGATGTTGGACCACTGACCACAGTCCAGGCCCTATCTCGCCTCCACACACTCACAGTGCTCTCAGGGGGGACACTTAGGCTGCTGTGTTTATTATTAAGAGGATGTACAGAGCTGTAGGCCCCAATCGCTCACTTCCCCTCTATCCGTTGGGACCTTCTAAAAACTGTTCTTACTAGACTGTCCGGCCCACAGAATTAGGCATTGAACTGTGCTAGGTCACCTGATTTGCTATCACTTTACCTCCTAGGGCTATATTAAAATATTTTCTAGGTGTATAAAATATATGCTACTACTTATACCTGGGTCCTGAGAGAGTGTAGAAAATTACAGTTCCAGCCCATGAGTTTTTGCAAAATAAATAAATTATTATATAAATTAAATTATTTATATTTTGATATGGGCACTGGGGGAAATCTCTGCCTACTTTTAGATCTTCTATCTGCCTATATTACATGGTAAATGGTAAATGGTGACATTTTTCTATAGCGCTTTTCCACCTTCAAGGCACTCAAGGTGCTTTACAACAAGGAACCACTCATCCATTCACACACACATTCACACACCAGTGTACACAGACACTGTGGGCAAGGTGGGTTAAGTGTCTTGCCCAAGGACACAACAACAGCATTCATCTGTGGGAGCTGGAATCACATCAGCCAACCTGTGGGTCAGTGGATCTGACCACTCAACCTGTGATGTTTTATGTCGAGAACTGGATTCGAACCACCAACCTTCAGATCAGTGGGCAAATGCTCTATCTGCTCTAACTGAGCTACTGCCGCCCATCTTATAAGAGTTTTATTTGTAACATTGGATGGATAGAGATAGATACTTTAATGATACTGAATTTCTTTTCGGATCAAAAATCAGTCTTTGTAGTGTTTGCTTACAAGTTATTGCCAAATAATTTTTAATTAGTCATGTTCAAAGTCCAACTGTGGGGAGTAGTCCAGGCAACTGACATGATGAATATTTCATGCATCCCTTAACACAATGTAGTGTTAATGCCTGCAGCATAGGTAAGAAGAATGATAGCTCGGATAGTGTGTATTGTACATTTGCACATTTCACTAATAGTGTGCCATTTTTCGTTCCTTTAGGCAACAATTATAAGTGTATTATCAATGTTATCATGTTGTCTTTGGACAGGGAGAAATAAAATAATAACTAGCTAACTAGCAAGATGCTTAACCGTTCTGCCTTTACACACAGTAGTATTTGAATGGGTTTGACCACAATGATCTTAATTTCCCTATCTGTGAGGAACTTGGTTTCTGATTAAAGCATGTCATTGGTGAGGCATGTCAGTGCAGAGGGCTGATTGTGTTTACATTTTTTATTACTTAGTTACTCAGATAATCAGCATCTCACAGTGGGAACATTCTCTGGAGCATGACTTCAGAAAACAGGTCGTACAGGAGTGGCAGTACCAAAAAGTCAATCATTGTCTTTTAACAAGGAAGTGAATGTTGTTGTTATTCTTACTTTGTCAGGCATATATGAAATGAATAGACTTTAAGTAATGTCTTAAGCCAAAGAAAGTCATATTAATATGTTTGTTCTGCACCCATTATAAATTAAAACACACAAGTATAGATGGATCAGATGAAAATATCTAACTAGCTGTTGCTCTGATTAGCTCGTGTTATGCTTAGTAGATGATATCATTTCCTCTTGTCCCGTAATGTCTATTTTTGCAGCTTATTGTGTTTTCCTGTTTCTGGACAATGGGGCACAAAGGGCTAGAGTGGACTGCTCTGATAAGGTTGTACAACATGTTGCTGTTTGATATGGCATTACGAACTGGTAAAAATATGTAATTTGCCTCCCTCTCTAGAATTTGACTGCAAGTCCTTTGTCCCCCTAGTTGTACATTGTCAAAGTGTCAAATGTACATTATTGAATTGGCCATTATGTACCATTTTAGACTTGTTTTAATGTGTTATTTGTGACAACATCGTTGCATAGTGGACATATAATGGGCTTTGAATACTTTAAGAATCGTTTATCTGATTGTTCTAAGTAAACAATATACCAGTAACTTTCATTTTATAAATAGCATATTGATTGATGTTACTAAAACTATAGGTATATCTGCCATGTACTGATGTGCAAAGCAGAGTAACTTCATTCTGATGAGAGGTCTTGCAAGGTCAACGGTAGACCCCCTTAATCTTAAGTAAAGGGAGAGAATTATGTTTTTTGATATTTGACATGCCTGGTCCTGCTGCCCCTTTGTGTATGCAGTGGTTGAGCTGCAGAGGAGCAAACTAATTCTACAGGAATGCATTGATTTAACCCCAACCCCAGGAAATGCTTTTAGACTTGACATGTTACCGTGGAGACCACTGTGCTCAAGCTGACAATGTCAGATGGGAATGTCTACTTAGGCCTATGTGTTTGATTTACTTTGAGTATACTTTCTTAAACACACTTTAGTTAGAATAAAATAAAGTTGGAGAAATCACTCTTCACTAAGGCAAAGATAGTGTTAATATACATCTACTATACTATAGTAGTTATATTTTTAGGTGTCAGAGCAGCAGCAACAAGTTACTTTTATTTAAGGAGGTACAGAAAGTTACTATTCATACTATATTAATTCAGTAGGCTATGCACCTATGCTCATTTTGACTTGTGTTGAGTGGTCGACTGAAGCAGATGAGCATCTTAGTCCCTGATGTGATCTAGGTCTGAATTGTAAGGATTGTATCATGGAAATCAGCCGGGCTAAGACATGTCAGTACCCATGCAAGTAATTTACTTTGGCGACCCCTGAAAGAAGCAGAGCAGTGTTGGGACTTTTCTATGTGTATTTGGCGTGAGGATTAACTCTGAGTGCATGTGTAACAGGAGAGATGTGTTAGGTGGCCCTCTCCAGCTGCTCCGTCTATTGTTAACAGCTCATTACAGAAGCTTATGACAGAAACCTTACTCCCTTCCTCTGTGTCTCCTCACACAAGGCCCGGACTGTGCCTCGGAGCTGCAGGTAACCTACTGACAGGCCAATAATACAGCTGTAATATACGCACAACTAGAACATCACTGACGAAAACAAGTGGAGCAAAAACATGTTGAATGAATTGATTTGTTTGAAGACATTTTATTTTAAGAGTGTTCGAGAAATTGGGACAGAAAATAAACGCTTGCTTGGAAGAAAATTTTGCAGTACATGACCTGAAATTAGAGCTTAAAAGCAGGGTAATGTTATTCCCTCTCATGAAGGAAACCACACTCTGTCATTAGGATCCGAACTGTCCCAAGAAAACCATGAGGGACCAAGCCCTGGGCACTTGGGTAAAAACACACCACTGCAGTTTGAGTCCAGCCCTAAGATCTGCTAAAGTACTCCTCATCTAAGGCATGAAAACATACAAGGTCGTCAATATGGCTACCTAAATTATTCCAGTTTTTAGAGATTGATTACTGAGCCAGCAGGTATTCACAATGCTTCAAATGGCATGCATACTAGAAAGATATGACCCTTTAAACATTTCCCTTTCAGTAAAAAGGTTGCGAGGTCAACTGTAGCCAATTTTCAATGATGGGTCTAAGTAGAGTCCGCGTGCACAAGAGCTTCTGTTTATTGACTAGCAGGTGAAGTTGTGACTTAGTGTAGTTCTGAACAACCAACTAACCTATCCAGTTATAGTTATATGATCATTTACTTCAACCACATAAATCATTAGCTATAATGAGGAACCCAGACTGTTCTACCCTCTTATTGCAGCTCAAAGCCTCGTGGTGTGCCATAGAGACTGGACATCAGAAGGAACGTAAGGCATTGAGCAAGTGTCTCGCAGTGCCCCATGTAAACTCCTTTTTACTGGATTCTTTGTTAAGCCACAGAAAAGACCCTGCAACACAGCGCTCCCCCAGGGCTGTGCGCGCATGTGGAGAGAGAGACTGACAGAGGAACCCAAGTAACGAGAGGCACTTTCTGAGAAATGATGAAGAGACATTGGAATGCGGTGTCATGCATGTTTGGGCAGTGGCAGAGGGAGCTATAGGACATAGGGCATCTGTCTGGTTAACATTTCATGGAAAGACGGACGGTTTTAACAAAGGCATGTCTTCATAAAATGGTGACTAAAGAATTAATTTGCATAATTCTGACAGTCAAAATATGCACCGGCACTGTAAGGAGCTAATAGGACCACCATGATCAATGACAAAAACGACAAGATTTAGTTTAAATAGCTCCAAACTTGGCTGATTTTGTGACTATTGATTCTAAAGAAAAATTGGCTTCATAAAAGTTCCTCTTATTATTTCTATAAATGTATGAGGGAGTTTGATTTGATCATGTTGCTCATAATTTTAAATATTGGATAAAGTTACACTTGGTTTAACTTTAACTAAATGTTTTTGTATTTTGATGATAAGTATTATTCACTCAGCGTATTGGACTGTGGGTGGCAGACGCATAAACCTGGTGAGTAAGCCAGGGCAAACACAGGCAGGTAATGACAATGATAAGGAGACATTTTGCACAACTCACTTTATTTATTCTATTTGCTCATTTCGTCAGATTTGAGAGCCAGTTTCTTTAAATCATTGATGTCCCTTGGGAAAGATTCACATGTGCCCTGTGTTGGGGGTTGGCCAGGCCTCACCTCTTTGTTTGGGTTAAAGGAGAGGGGCCATCTGCTGTAGTGCTCACGACAATAACTTCACACTCATTTCCTGTACAAATACACATGCTTTTCTATAAGTGCAAATGTTTTTATGGCACTGGCAAGTCTTATCTTTTTCATATCATTGTATATCTTTTTTACTGTATTGTATGAAGTATAGGAAAAGAAGATTCACATTTTTTGTTGGGCCACTGACATGACATATTTCTAAGGGCAATTTGCGGGTTACATGTCTTTCCTTTGTTCTCATCAGCAGTCTCACCATCCAGAAACTTAGGCTTGCAATAAGTAAATTGGTAACATTTAGTACCCTTTAGTGACTCAAACAGTTGACCATCATGTAAATAAATCATACTTTTTCAGAAGTGTACCCTTCCCATAAAATGAAAACTTGCAAAATATTTCACCTGCTTCTCCTAAAAGGAACGACATACATGCAAATACCAGATCTAAAATTGGTTATAGAGTGTTTTTTTTCTTTTTCTCTTCAGGCCCGGCACAGGGATGCCTTCGTCCAGGAGCGTTACGGACAATATGACCTCAGTGATCCATTCCTGGCCTTGCAGAGGGACAGTGAAGCAGAGGAGCGGCAAAATGCACTGGCCCAGAACAACAGCAGCCTAACGGGACGCGCAGTGGGCCCAAACCCTCTGGCTGTACTCAAGCTGGTTATGGCTCACTGCAAAAGGATGCAGGAGAGGATGATGGGTCAACTGGCTGCCACAGAAAGAAGACATAAAAGGGTAAAGTTGAACAGACAAGAGTTTAAAGTAGATCTTTTTGTTTTGTTTTGCATGGAGCTTTAGTTTAGTCTTGGTTTACACTTGTTATTGTCTGGGTTTGGTCCTGGTTTGGTCCTGGTTTGGTCCTGGTTTGAGCCCAGTCTTAAGTTTTGCCAGCTAAGACCACATGCTTTTACATTACTTTACAAAGACTTAAATTCTAAAACCATATCATGTCTCCGTAATATCTGATAGGAGTGGCTGACAGGAGGATTAACCAATCAGAGAAAGACATGGTCAATTGTCTCAAACCAAACATGGTAGCTTACAAGCAAAATAGAAAGAAAAATAACAGAGGACTGTGAGACAACCCAGATCTCTGTAGAATCAGTGAGCTAAGCACTTAACTCTGTAAATCTGCGAATGAGGTAAGATACATATCCGTTCTGAATGTAACAAGAATATTCAAAAGGAGAGACACATGCTTTAAATTAGTGACTGTGAAAATTGGTCATGCTCTTAGCCCAGGTTTAGTTCTTGATTTAGGACCAGTTTAGTCCCAGTTGTGATGTGGTGTGTGTGAGTGTGTGAACACAACGTAAACAATGCATTTTTCTCTGTATTAATTCATTAGTTTAAGACACGTCAGTCATACTTTCAGGATGTTTTAGTAACTTGAAAATGGTATCTGATCAAAAGCCACACTGCTATTTAACTAGAGGTATGAACTTATACAGACTGACACACCCAAGGCTTAAACTTTGTGAAGGGAGGCCACACATTTCCTTGTCTAATCCAGTTAATTTAATAAAACCCTATGCAACTCAGCAGGCTACAACTTCATATTGACAAATTAGCAACAGTGACATGCAACATTCTGCAATTTGTCTCATACGTAATGAAATGTGATTTATTTTACCCTGTGATTGACAGATGATAGCTGACTTGGAAGAGGAGAAACGGTGCAGGGCTCAAGAATCTGCCAGAAGTGAAGATGTCTTGTGTATGCTCCAAATGGAAAGGGACAAACTTCTTAAACAGGTATCAGAGAAACTATTTTATACATTTTTGGCTGTAGTGACTGTTTTACACACAAATTTCTAGGATAAATTGAATTTCACTGGTTGTATGTACATATTATTATTATTATTATTATTATTATTATAGTACACTGTGTTGTACAATAAAATAACCAGTTTCAAGTTAAGGCACTAGCAGATCATTTACCTTATGTGATCTTGCATTGCTTAGTCTGAGTAGAAGTGCATTGTATGACTCAGCAGGGAGGAGAGGGCTGGGCCTGGGAAAGTACAGGCACTAGAGGGTGTCTGTGGCTCTATCCGCACCGAGCTGGTCTGGAGGAAACCGAGGAGGATGGGGCCATTGTTTGGTTGTTCTGCAGCTCTGGGCTGTTGTGGCCTCAGGAAATGTGAGATAAAGGATGGCCATGACTAATACAGGGTCACTGTGCAGACACACTCATGGAGCTCAACATGAGGCACTGTTAAAGCCTGCATAGGGACATTATGTAAGAGAGGCTTTCTCAGTGTTCCCCAGTCACCCTCAATCTTTCTTTTCAATATTTTGGACACACATAGAGACAAAAAGATTCATACATCCTCATCTAGGGTTTCTCAATGCACTGTATTAGAATGTTATATAATAAACATTTTTGAGATACTGAAAAGTCAATTCTTGCATTTCATTTCAATAAACCTTCAAAATATACTAAAGCAGGTTATTGTTAAATTTAGTTAACATTTACCTTGACTGCCTCCTTGTGGTCAAATAGGCAATGATCCTCTGACTACCTTTGCATTTCCTTTGTTTAGTTGGAGGCGGAGCGTGCCACAGTGCGGCGCTTGGAGAAGGAACAGGTACAGACGGTGAGCCAGGTGGAGGAGTCCCTGTCCCAGCAGCAGCAGCTCTCCTCCACCTTGAGTCTGGAGCTGCAGCGGGCCTGCAGCCAAGCACAGGAGGAGGCCCAGAAGGCCTCCCAGCTCCACAGCAGACTACAGGAGGAAACCAGTGCTCTGGAGAAGCTTCATAACACTCTAGAGGAAGAGAGGAGACACTCAGCTCAATTAGAGGCCAAGTCTGAGAGGCAGTTGGCTGAGTTCCATACAGAGCGAGAGCAGTTAAAATCTCTGCTCCATAAAGAAAAGGAGAGATGTAAGGAGCTTGAGAGACAGGTAGATGAACTCACAGAGACATTAGCTTCTGTGCAACACTTGTGTGATGTAAAGGAAGAAAATGTACTGTCCAACAAAGCATCGGAGCCCACATCTGTTCAGACAGAACCAGATGGAAAAGTTAGCAGCACCACTAAAGCAGTTTCAGTGTCCAAGGCAAACGGCCATCACACTAACAAAGGGACAGAGTCCATAAAAGAGAGAAAAGGCCCTGAAAATGAGGTGATAGTGGAAAATGGCAGTGGACCATTGTCTCAGTCACCTCTTCACCCTCTCTCTCACCCCCGCTCTCCCTCCAGCACAGCCTCCTCCTCCCTCTCCTCCTCCCCTGTCTCCTCCCCAGTGCTGGCCAAGCGCCTTGGGAGCCCAAGCTTCCATCAGTCCGCTTACCAGGCTGGAGTCAATCAGCGTTTCCAAGCTGCCAGGCACAAGTTCCAGACTCAGGCAGAACTGGAGCAGCAGCATCACAGCAGTGGGCCTCTATCTCCTCGAGACTTGTCCCCTACCACCTCTGCCCCCCCTCCACCTGAGAACAGTACCGCCAAACAACTGGCTCGCAACACTGTCACACAAGTGCTGTCTCGTTTCACAAGCCAACAGGCTGGGGTCAAACTGGCCCCTATCAGCAACTCTCCTTTTGGTACTGATTACCGCAACTTGTCTTCCCCTACTGGTCCAAAGTCTCCCTCATCAGGGCCATTATCTCCAGGCATTCGCTCACCACTCACTCCACGCTCAGAGCGCACACATCCACCTCCAGTTCCCCCCAAAAGGCCAGGCATGAGTCCCACTCCTGGATCACCAAGTCACTCCACCAGGAGCCTCAATTTCCCAGAGCTGTCAGGAAACTGTGGAGACAAAAGTGTGCAGGAGGGAGCCAAAGAGCCCGATCTGGTCCTATCGTCCAGCAGTTAACAGTTAAAACATGGATAAACTCATTTACACCCTTGAATCAACTTGTAGCACACAATTTCAATTGATAAACAAACACTATTTAAAAACTGTACTGTTTAGTTAAGGAGTTGGCCTACGTCTACCTCTGTAGCATTAATAAAAACTATTTTAAATAAACATACTGTAGGAGTGCTTTGAATAATGATGGAAGCTGTGCACAAAATGTATGCAGAACTTCCCCACTGAATTTTGTTATTGCATAAAGATCTGCTATTTCTATTCCTCTAAGATGTAAATGCGCTTTATAGCTATGTATACAGTAAATGGAAAATTAAATACAAAAATAAGAGCACAACAAAAACATAATAACTTAAGTCTAGTATCTGTTAAGATGCTACTGTAAAATGTTATTGAGAATATTGTGTACACTTAACTTAATTGCTATGATTCTAAAATGAAAACCAGTTCTTTCTTCAATAAAGTACAATAAGCTGTAGAAAATAAAGGTATACATTTAGTTGTTTTTCTAGTAATTACTTAGTCTACTGTATCTTTCTTTCTCCTGTTGAATACAGACAATATTTAAACTGACTTAGTGATACTTTGCACTAGACCTATAGGTCTAAACAAAAGCAGATTAAAAAACAAAGTCTTTAAAATTATATTATTTATGTTTTTATTGTCTATTATAACTTTATGTTATAAAGTGTACAGCACAAATCTCAGGGTACACTTTATTGTCCCCATAGGGAAATTTGTCCTCTGCATTTGAGGACAAATCCTTTAGTGCTGCTGGACATCTCATCAGGAGTGGGAACCCAATCCAGATGTTGTTGCTAGGCTTGGTCAGGATTACTCTATCTGGAGGATTGTACCTATGATGCATGTTTTGGGTTGATGGGGGAACCGGAGTGCCTGGAGGAAACACACCCAGACACGGAGAGAATATGCAAACTCCGCACAGAAAGGCCCGGAACCTTTTGTGAAGCTTACTAGTCATTCAGCCTCTTCAGAAGCATTTGGTAAAATGTACAACGCCGCCCCCTAATGTCAGTTATGAAAAGGTGCTAGAAGAGCAATCTAAACCTTTATTTTTTATTTTTTTTATGTTATTTAAAACCATTAACACAGTGTAACCGGTTTTAGATTAAATGTACAGAGAATTGTTGTAATCTCTCACAAAATAGTGTTTAGTACTGTACTTCAATGTTAACTATATTCAGTTGTCTTCGCCTTAAAACACGCCATTATCTAACCTGGAATGTTTTCGTTTTATTTATACTACTACGACTGTAAATCAAATAAATAATTGATTCAAGCATTGCCACCTTTCCCCTCGTTTCTTTTCTCGTACTGCGGTAGCCACATCCACATCATAAAATAGAAAATGAATTGGTGTTTCTGAATAGAAATTCCAAATACCCATAAGTACTGGACACTACCGGGGTAGTTAGGCGTGCCCATGTCGTGCCCATCATGTGCCATGGATGTCATGTGCCCACAGAACTGCCCAACGAGGGAACCTTCATATGTTCATTTCCGGTTGAATTTTAACTCCTGCGAAATCAAATAAGAAAAACAATCAGGATCAGCCAACAACATAGAGAATGTGCATTATGTGAAATTATGCGTTATTTAGTTTAATGTTTAATTGTTTGAACAAGTCTGACGATTTTCGATTCACAGCATTATTTTGTACACCGGAAGTTCGGGCCGGAATGACCTTTGTATCTTCACTGTTGTGCTGAGGACAGGACAGGCAGCCATGACGGCTCCGGTAAACGTTATGTTTTTTACCGAAGTTATTGTGAATTTATGACCCAATTTAATATTAAATCATTGATATACCCGGCTTTTATGTAATTACTTTATTGGCACGAATTCTGACCATGGGAGTATATTATAGGTCCATGCTCAGACAAGTTAAGCTAGCGGGTGGAAATGCTATAATATAACTACTCGTACAGGAAGTTCCTGTTGCTTGATCTCTTGTTATGTCTGTTGCCATGATGTATTTCTTTCGGTTTCAGTCTTACATTGTGTTCTTGATTGTACCTTGTGAATGCGTAGTGTCCTTCTTATAAAACAATGAATAGATTTGTATCTGTCGCGAGACAGTTTGTGCCGCTGAGTCGCAGTTTGCATTATTCTGCTCTCTGCTGCCAGGTGATGACCAACCCTGAGGAAATCTCCAGACTGTACAGAGAGCTGAGCCTCTTCCCTTCCTTGACCAGAGCTGATGTGGGACCAGTCATCACTTCTCAGTACGGAGGCAAATACAGCAATATTTACACAGGTTTGCAGTCTTGTGGTTTTATCGCCTTCCAAAGGTTCTCTATTGAAACTGAAAGTAGTCTGTCTCTTATTTCCCCAGAATGGAGCCAGCGTGATTTGGATAGAAACGAGAATGTCAAATTTTGCAAACAGTACATAGTTTTCCATGATGATGCATCAGTGGTGTTCTCTGGTGCTTGTGGAAACTGTTCTGAAATCAAAGGAGAGTGAGTGACCTGCTAATTTTTATCTTAAGTATTTCACAGGAACAAATCAAACACTGTGTAATGGATTTCTCCATTTTATTATTAGGGTATTAAGTAAAGATTCTCCTTCAGGGGAAATGAAAGCTGTTGTCAGGGAGTGCACCATCAAGGGGGAAGATAAGCAATACTTGGAGGTCAGCTGATGTATTGTGAAAGTGTTATGAGCATGTTGCTGCTATATTGTATCTGCCTACCATATAAGTGGATGTTTTCACTTGCCTTTTTTCAGATCTGGAGTAAAAACATCAAGATGAAAAGTATCAACCTCACAGCCTTAAAAAAGCATGGAAAAGTCTTTGAAGACAGTTAGTCATTTTGATAAAATGAATGAAATTTGTTTCTTATGTTTTGATAATAAAGCTGATATTTACTCTTTTAGGCCAGTTCGGGTGTCTGGTTTGGTCTCATTCAGAAACCCACCTTCTATATGTGGCTGAAAAGAAAAGACCAAAAACTGAGTCCTTTTTCCAGGTTTGTCTTCTGAACCAGTTGCCCATTCACAAGATTTTTACAAGGCGGTTTCACAAAAAATCTAAATTGCAGAGTTATAATTTTGACCACATCTTTTGTAATTCTGTTAAACCAGACCTCTTAAGCAAACATATATTACTTCCCGTTTCAAAATGAATAGTGATTTTCACAAATGTGCAACATAACGCCATATCAAATCTGTTTACATCAAACTACTGATGAATCACTTTTCCATCATGTGCATGTAATTTGTAATGATTTCTTTGTCTCGTAGACTGAGGCACCAGAGTTGTCTGCAATCGAGGATGATGATGAATCTCTGAGATTTGAGAAAAAAGATACTGTTAAAGTGAGTGCTTTCTAAAGGCATGAAATTGTCCATTTCAACTCCATGGTAAAATCTTCTCTGCATACTGTTCTGTAGGGAGAGCAATTTGCCTTTTATGAAGACTGGGGCGAGGCACTGGTCAGCAAGAGCAGCCCAGTTCTTTGTGTTTTGGACATTGAAGGGGACAATGTGTCTATTTTGGAAGGTGTGCCTGAAGATATCTCTCCTGGGCAGGTTGGTCTATGCTTGTGTTATATCTTGCACATTCATGTTTTCTTAATTTAACATCCCTTAATATCACTGTTTTGCAGGCCTTTTGGGCTCCAGACGACACAGGAGTCGTCTTTGTGGGCTGGTGGCATGAACCATTCAGACTTGGCCTTACATACTGCCCTAATAGAAGGTTATATTTGTACACAGAGATTGTAATAAAAATGAAATACTGGTTTATTGTTTATGTTGCCTAAACATCTATATATTTTCGTGTTTTGTTAGGTCATCTTTGTTCTATGTGGATCTCATTGGCGGTAAATGTGGTAAGTTATGTCAAGAACTATTCATGCCACATTTTTTTCATCAATAATGGGCAGCACCTGCATCCCTTACTAGTCATGTAACATTTTGTGAAATTAAAATATTTTTCAAATGTTTCATATAATCATTGTTAAATCTGTTTAATTGTCTCCCTTAGAGCAGTTGACCTCAGGCTCCACTGCAGTGTACTCTCCCAGGCTCAGTCCAGACCACTGCAGAATTGCATATTTGGAGTGCTCCGTGTATGGACCACATATGCAATGTAGCAAGTTGTGCATAGTAAATAAACACCATTTTATTTTCTCTCCCCATATAATAATAATAAGAACAACAATAACAATATGCCTCATTGCTTAACTGACCTCTGCCACGTACTGTATGTCATGTTGATGTTTTATGGATTGTACAATACATTTTTAGCTTGTAACTGTAATTACTCAGTACATTCTGTACAAAAAACTTTATAAATGCTAAATGTTCTGTGTTCTGCTTCCATGATTCTAGTATGACTGGTATACCAAAAAGACATCTGTGATTGTGGATATAGTGAACAGGCTAAGAGAAGGTATGTATTTTTTTATTTATTTATTTATTTTTGGTATTATGTTTTTGCAGTTTATATAATTATAATAAATTTTTATGTTGGTTTTACAGACGGCTTCACTGGAATCTATGGCTCTCAGCTGTCTCCTCAGTGCTGGTCAGCCGATAGCCAGCGTATAATTGTTGCAACTCCCCAGAAAAGTCGTAAGGTATGTGATTTCTTTAGTAGTGGCTTGAACTGTTCCAGTCAAACAGATACAAAAAAGACATCAATTTTTTCAACTTTTTAAGGATCTACTCATGGTTGACATAAACACTGGCGTTGTCACTTCTTTAACTTCAAGTGAGTAAAATTTGAATATAATGTAATCAGAAATAATAGATCTGTGATAATTCAGGGTGCTTTTAATGTACTGGGTGTATACAGTGTTTCAAATATATTTCCAATTTATAGACTCAGATGCAGGAAACTGGTGTCTGTTGAACATAGTTAGAGATTTGATGGTGGTCAGTTGCTCTTCACCAAATCACCCTCCACGTCTGGTAGGATGCTATTTATTGTTTGTTCCAGTTTTGAATACATAAACACTACATTTACATTCTGAACTTATTTTGTGAACATGTTTAGAGAGTGGGCTTCCTTCCAGCCAGGGAATCTCAGGAGAAAGTGGCCTGGGTGACTCTGGAAGACTGCGATGTTTTAGAAGATATTGACTGGAATATCTTGACGTTAACCCCTCCTCCAGAGCAAGACAACAGGCAATATTGTAAGTATGCAAAACTCCCTTTAATGGGGTGTAGTTGTAAGGTTCCTTATACATTGGTGTGTGTGTGTAATATATATGTTTATTTTTGTTTTAGCTGGGCTTGATTTTGAAGCCTTACTAATTAAACCTAAAGAAATTAAAGAAGGCGTGAAACTTCCTCTGGTTGTAATTCCTCATGGTAATTGAATGTGAACTTGTACTTTACAAATACTTTGACTATGCATGACTTTTGACTATGCATATTTTTTTTAAATGTAAGTATAGGGGGACCACACTCTGTTTATGTTGCTGAATGGATGTTATCTTGTGCTGTGATGTGCAGAATGGGCTTTGCTTCTTTACTTGGTGAGTAATGTAATAATTCAGCATTAAAAATTGTACATGTTTTAAAAAAATATATTATTTTTTAAAATTCTTTGGTATTTCACAGTGAATTATCGTGGTTCTATTGGCTTTGGACAAGACAGTATACTCTCGTTACCTGGCAGTGTTGGTACACAGGATGTAAAAGATGTTCAAGTAAATTTAAATGATCATATTCTGGTGAAAAGTGAAAGTGGCCCTTTGCTTTTTATAATATATTTACATAAATTGTTTTTGGTTTTTCAGTTTGCAGTGGAAAGTGTTCTAAAATACACTGACTTTGATTCAGAAAAGGTGGCCATATCAGGTGGCTCTCATGGGGGTTTTCTGGCCTGTCACCTGATTGGACAATATCCTGGTTTCTACAAAGCATGTGTTGCACGCAATCCTGTCATTAACATAGCATCAATGGTTGCCTCCACTGACATACCAGACTGGTAAAGGTTATGCACATTTTCCAGCATGGGTTACAAATAATTAGAATCATGATAATTGAAACTTTTTTTTGTAATGACTTTCAATTTTGCAGGTGCCATGCTGTGTCTGGCTTTGACTACAGCATTGACAGCCTTCCTGACCCTGCATTTTTAGAACGAATGTTGAGCTTATCACCAATTAAACATGTTCCAAAGGTATCTCTTTTCAATTTTATACTTCTTATATTTTTTTATACATGGATCTGCAAATAACGCTTGATAATATTTTTTACAGGTACAAACACCTGTGTTGCTTACAATAGGTGAAGATGACAAACGCGTCCCTAGCAAGCAAGGCATTGAGTATTACAGAGCTCTGAAAGCAAAGAAGGTCCCTGTTCGGTAAGCCACACCACATGACTGGATAACACTGTGTTACTAGTGAAGCTGTTGTGCTTATTCATATTTGTCTATGTTTTTCTTCCCAGTCTACTGTGGTATCCAGGAAATAATCATTCTCTCTCAAAGGTGGACGCAGAATCGGATGGCTTCATGAACATTGCTCTTTGGTTCATTCAGCATCTATTTAAGCAAGGTTAGGTTTACTGAGTTCATTTCTTACTAAGAAGGAGCAAAGATGTGTAAATCGTAGTTTGCTTTTTCAAATTCTATGCCAAAGTCTTTTTATAATGCTATTTGAGCACTTACTTGTAACCTACGCTGTAAAAATATGTCAATTGATTTTTCTCAACGCTGTCAGTGCAAACTTCCAATAAAGCTATGTTCAATAAAAGCACATGATAAGGGTCATGGACTTATTAAATATCATAGAAAAGAAAGAGGAAATGATATTTATATAAGATAAATAACCTTTACAATAGCCTTTCACTTCTATGCATATTGGATTCAGGTGACTACAATTCAGAAGTGAATAATTTTAAATGCATCCAGCTATTTATTATGTATTGTAAAAAAGGACATTGTACATTTAAAATACACATAAGAACAATCAGAGACTATTTTGATCAAACATAATGTGATATTTATTATCAAGTAATGTAACATAATATTTATATCCTTGAACAATCATAAATTCTTTAACTTGACATTTATTATATAGAATTTTATTCTTTACTTTCATACTTTATTATACTTCCAATGTATTCTATGCTGAATTGTAATATAGCTGACAGAAAGAATAATAATAAGCAGTTTAATCTGAACTCATTCAATTTTGAGCTGTATGTTAAATCAGCATTTTTTAATGATGTTCTAAAGAATTATAGAAAAAATGCACTCATGAAAACCTATTTAAGCATATAATTTAAGATAGCCTTTTAGATAGAATTTGCGCTAATCATGCAAACAAAATTCATTAGTAATTTACATGACAAAAAAATTGTTCCTTCGATCCTTAAATTCTAAAAATAAATCTTCATTTGAAAACAACACATTTTCCAGTCGCATAATATTGTTTCTTCTGCAAATATAATTGTCTGATGAGAAGAGGACCTTAAACTTTTGCTTCTCTTTTTTAACAGTCCCTAAACAGCAGTGGTTGTTAACACTGAAACACAGGAACATGATGATGTTATAGCTGGAGTGGGACAGTCCCTCACAAGTCAGCTGACACAGACATATAAATTACAACACACTTTCAATTCCAGTTAACTCACTGCACCAAGAGCAAAGAGGAATTATGATTTTGCTTATTTCCTAATAACATTCAATTGCATTAGAAACTATGGTAAGTGTGCATTTTCTAAATGGACATTTTTTGTATAGGATTTCATTACAAAAGAAATGAGACTTGCTGCTTGTGTGGTTTGTGACATTCAGATATGGTCAGGAAATATGTGAGCGCAGCAAAAATATACCTTCAAACCTCATGAAAACAGCACTAGAGACTGAAAGTGTACACACGGGTGTTGAACTTGAGAGCCAAATTTAAGATAACAATAAAGTTTTCTTACAGCATTAAATTGTAGCCTATACACAGGTTAATTATATGATAGGAGGAATGCTGACTGACTGGTACAGTGAGAGAATCAAGAAATTAAGAGTGTGTCATACTGCATCTGTTTTGCAATAATGCTAAAAATGTAAAAATCATGCAAAAAGTAGACCAATTTTGTAAAATGTATCTATATATGAATATTATATTAATATAAATTAAATCAGTGTTTCACAAACTTTTTTTCTGGAGACTCATGTTTTAAAAGTTGCTAATTTTTTTTTTACATTATTCCTAAATCACAAAATAAAGGTGGATTTGACCATTATTGAACATTAATGAGTATATTTTATATTCATTGAATCAGCAATAAAAGGATCCATAATTCACCTATTTGGACATTAAATGTAGCCTATTTCTTTTCAACATTCAATTGAATCAGCAATATTGGAACAAAATAGTCAATAAAATAATTACAAAAACATTAGATATTATACAAAATATGTCAACATATCAACATTTCTAATGAGATAGGTTGGCCTGTCTGAAGGTTGTGACCCAGTCATTGGGAAAAAATGAATTAAATTACTATTTATCATCCACTGCCTTCCACTGAATGCATTTGTGCAGGTTCAGCAGTATTTGGTGCATTTTTGCCTCAGCCTTTCGCTACTTCCAAGCATCATACCTCAATGGATACCAAAAACCCAGCTCATTTCCAACAGTCTTTATCTCATGCCCTTTCCATTGCACAGGCTGCACTCCTTATATTTTTGTTGTGGGTGATGGTATACCAGCCAGATGAGAGAAGGGGACAATGAACAAACTATAGGTGAAATTGAAGGCAAGCACTGTAACATCTCATTGGAGATGTTAACATGCTTGCTCCATCAGAAAAGTTACAAAATGCACTTTTAATGATGCATATTGTTGCTAGGGAAGCCTAAAATGCAGAGATTGGTTGCTAGAGTCTCTAAAAGCAAAGTAAGAGGCCCACAGAGTCCAGCATTTTGAAAATGGAGTGCTTTGTTTGAATGGTATGGTGCAATAGCATAGGACGAGGCCATACCATTAATGGATTTATATAGTTTTTTGTTTTTGTCAGTGAGCTACTGCACCTTCCTGCATTTTAAATGTAATTCTAAACTCCTCAGGAAACCAGCAAATGGGGTTCAACACTGCGATGATGATGCTTTTTTTCTAGTTTGTGGTCATTGTTGTCTAGCAGTGTGTCTTGGTCGGTACTTCCTGAAGTCTATGTTAGTTTGGTGACGTTCAGTATCAAGGTGTTGTGTCTATATCAGCTCACTTCTTCCTTTCTGTGGGTCACACTATTGCCATCATTATAATGTGTTCCCTTTTCCTGTGTTTGTGTTTAAATTCTGTTTCCTTTTTCAGGCTATCTTAACATCAGTTCTGTTGCTGGGACATCTTCCAATGATTTGGACTATAAACATGACCTTCTTCCCATGTGATGCTAGTGCCACAGGCAATGAAGTATACTGCTCTAACAGACCACTCATCCAAGTCCCCTTATTTCACTCAGAAACTGTTCACTGCTGGATTTGAGTAATACTAAATTAAGAAATCTGCAACAACGTTCTTTTCAGGGCATCCCAAACCTTCAGACTTTAAAAGTAAATTGTGTACCCAATTGTGAAGTGCTGAAGCCATACAAATTGGAAATTGAGAAATACACTTTTAGAGCTTTTCAAAAGCTTGAAACCCTCTCTCTTTATGGAAATGGCCTCTCATCTCTCCCCTGGTTACCCGAAAGTCTGAAGTATTTGGATATAAGAAGTAACAGCATTTTTCGCATTGACAGCTTAAAAACCCCCAATCTTAATTTTCTTTTGCTCTCAAAGAATTGTTATTATGCCACCAAATGCAAACAGTCTCTCCACATAGGTGAGGATGTTTTTAAAAATCTACCCAATTTAAGAAACCTGTCTTTAGGGTATAATAACCTGAAAACAGTTCCCAAAGGATTACCTTTGTCCCTTGAATATCTGGATCTAAAAGAGAACAAAATTACTGAAATACCTGATAATGCATTCTCCAATTTGACCAAACTGACTTATCTGAATTTGGAGTGGAACTGCCAGCGCTGTGACCATGCAGTAAGACCATGCTTTCCTTGTCCAGATAATGATTCTTTGAAATTAAACTCATCCTCACTATTTTGTGAAAATAGTTCCATTTCCAGTCTAAGCTTAAGAGGGAACTCCCTAAAAAAGTTTCCAGAAGGCTTTTTTTCAGCGTTAAAAAAACTGAAAAGGTTGGATTTATCAGACAATTTTCTTGCCCAAGAGATTCAAAATGGTACCTTCTTTACAGAGCTGACAGGCTTACTATGGATAAGCCTTGTTTATAACTATGATCCTAAAGTAACATACGCTGAACTCAACCTTCCATCACATCTTGCTGAAATGTCAAAGCTACAAACTCTACGTCTTACTGGTTATTTTTTCCATAAGCTGTCAAATGACAGCTATAAAGTTCTATCTAAACTTCACTATCTAAAAACTTTAGATTTTTCTATGAACTTCATAAATGTCAGTAATATGTCAGCTCTCAGCATATTACCGTCAATCAGAAATATTAACCTTTCCCAAAACATACTTAAAGGTGTCAGTTTGTGCAACAACCCTCATGTATATTCACTCTCTGCACAATCCTTTGTACAAACAGAAAGAAAAGTGCCCAATGTTGAATATAGCTCACAGGATCAGCCAGATATGATATCAGACGATACGTTTTTAACAATAGTAGACTTTAGAAGACGTATCTGCACCAATTCACTGACATTTAACTTATCTGCAAATGATATTCTCCTCCTTGACCAAGATGTGTTTAAAGGGATGGAGAATGCTGTTTGCATTGACCTTTCCCTTAACTACATGAATCAGCAATTAAAGGAAGGACTTTTCACAAATTTGAGAAATTTGTCTTATCTTGATTTGTCATACAATAGATTTGATCTTTATTACAATGAGTCTTTCAGTGAACTCAAAAACACCCTTAAGGTGTTGGACCTTAGTAATAATAATTTCCATTTTAGCTTACAGGGTTTGGGTCATAATTTTGATTTTCTTAATAATCTGACAGAATTATCAGTTTTGAGTTTAGCAAACAATCATATTGGGATGCGCATAAGCAAGAGACTTTTCAGTAGTTCCTTAAATTACTTATATTTCAACGGAAATCACTTAGGTGTTATGTGGGAACCGGAAAACTATAACTACCATTATTTTTTTCAAAATCTGACAAATCTAACTCACCTAGACATTTCTGATAATCGCCTAACTGAGATTATACCAGAAATTTTGTGTAACTTCACAACAAGCATAAGATTTCTTAGAATCAGTGGGAATGAACTGACGAGTTTTCCCTGGCAAAACCTGTCCGTATTGCTACATTTGGAATACTTGGACCTTAGTCACAATCACATTCAACATTTACCACAAAGGATACAGTTTGGAGCCAATTTTTCCACTTTGGACCTCAGCCACAATGGGATTGCTGTTATTCCTGATCTCCTTTTCTCAAACATTAAATCATTACAATGTCTATATCTCAGTAACAATCAGATAAAGGAGTTTAATCAGGAATTATTCCCAGCCCCATTCAAAAATGGTAGCACTCTACGTGAACTAAGTCTTCATTACAACCCCTTTAGGTGTGACTGTGGCACGGCTTGGTTTGCAGACTTTTTGAGTACAACTCCACTAAAGATTCCTTATCTCACCACCTTAGTGCAATGTGGATTTCCAGAGTCACAACAGGGAAAAAGCATTCTCCATTTGGCTGGACAGAGATCCTGTCAGGACATATATGGGGGTCTGGCTTTCCTCGTGTGCACCCTCTTGTGCGTGATGTTGACAGCTATTCCCCTGCTGAATCATCTCTACAGCTGGGACTTGTGGTACAGCATCCAAGTGCTTTGGGCTGGATACAGGGGTTATTCTCAGTTAGGAGGAAGTGACTCCAAACATCTTTATGATGCGTTTGTGCTGTTTGACACTAAAAACCATGCTGTAAGAGACTGGGTTTACAACGAGTTAATCTCTCATTTGGAAAACACAGAGCACCGAAAATTTAGCATTTGTTTGGAAGAGAGGGACTGGGTCCCAGGAGTGTCCTGTATAGAGAATCTACACAATGCTGTCTACAAAAGTGTGAAGACAGTGTTTGTCTTGTCCTGTGGAGGAGACACAGCAAACGGGGTAATACGCCAGGCCTTCTTTATGGTTCAGCAGAGACTTCTGGATGAAAAGGTGAGAATATTTGGTCTGTGTCATTTATGTTGTGTACAGAGTGAAGTAGGCTACAGCATGTGCCATTGTGTCCCTCACAGGTAGACTCAGCTGTACTAGTGCTGCTGGACGACATGTTTCCAAAACTCAAGTATCTGCAGCTGAGAAAAAGACTGTGCAGGAGGTCTGTTCTGTCCTGGCCCAAAAACCCAAAGGCTCAGCCTCTGTTCTGGAATCATCTGAGGATAGCTTTATCTTTGGACAACCTCAAGTTTTATGACAAAAACATGAGTGAAAGTTTTGTCTAACTAAAGCTACTGTACAATTACATTACATTCCCTATGGCTTTAAACGCTCTTACGAACAGTAGAGCATAATGCAGTTTTAAATGTAATGTGTACGTGAATTTTAAAAGTAGTAGCCCTACTTGTTTCACTAATAGATGATTCATAAATGTGGTTAATGCATTTTCTGTGTAACTAAAGCAACTTCCCTCTTCTGTATCATGTGACAAACGTTTCTGCTTTATTGAATTTTTTATTTTTTTTTCCACCATTTTGCTCTAATTAATACAGTGTAAATCGAACTAAAAGTTCCCAGTAAAAAGGTGTTTAGGAAAATGTAAATCTTTCTTATCGTCTCTGTATTTAAATATTAAAAATCAGAACTGGTTGGTTCCGACATGCATATCTTTGAACTTTTTGCCTCACCTAAGCTTGAAGAGGAGAATCCATCAGGCATCCTAAACACAGAACCAGCCGCGCAGCCGCGCGCCTGCGGGAGCGCGCTGCTGCTGCCTGTTGGTCAGTGCGGGACAGCACAGGTCACAGCTGAGCCGGAGCCGATGGCATCATGGAGCCTCCGAGGTCCGCCGCTTCATTTCTCAACTGATGGAGAGCTGTATCAGAAACGCGGGGCAGTTTGGATTGCACAGGTGAGATATGTCCGAACTACATAATGTAGTCTACATTTAAATGGATGTATAGTTTGTATTTTGCGTAAAAGATTAATTATTATGTAATGTTCCATCTTGAACCAAGCGCAAATTCCCATAGCCATGTGTATGAGCAAGAAACTAATCCTTTATGGCACGGTTGTAGTAGATCTATCTTGGTTATGTCATTTCACGTTTTAATCGTGCGAACGACATGGCCTGTGAGTTTACTTTGAGTATAGACTGCACTTTGACTCTATGTCACTTGCGATTGTGTGCTATATGTTAACTAAATTATCTTTGGACTGTAGAATTCTTATGAATTCTTCTTCTTCTGAATTCTTTCTTGCAAAACCTGGTGTCTAATTTTGAAGCAGCCTTAACTGAAATGTTAAAGTTTATAAGAGTCCCTTATTCTTTTCCGCGAATATGTGTGGGGCTAAGGCTCTTAGCATTACATTTTTACTTTCTTTTCTTATAGCCTACTTTGCAAGGAAAATGTAGGCAGCTATTTTAACTTAAAAATGTCAGCATTGTGTTGGGCCTATAGACTATAATTTTGTATTAAAATGTTTTAGTACATTCAGACTGCTGACATAGCTGTCACAGAATAATGACAATGTAATGACTGACAGACATTTCCAACCAATCTCTCAGTTGTATCACGTGCAGTGATTCCCTGCACCCAATCCCCTTGGATTAGAGGAGGGATTATGATTTGGATTTTCCAATGCTTTCTGCCACTGTCCCTAATGGTGTGTTATGAGCCGCTGTATCTTTTTATGATAAACATCTTTTATAGTGTTTGGAACCTTATTCGATCTTAGCTCCCTTTACGTTTGTGTTACTTAGATAATATTTCAATGTACACGTAACAGTGTAGAAGAATAATGCTGAGGGGCCTACATTTATTTTCACCATAATAAACATGTTTATGTTGCTTTGTCTTAATTTTTTTTTCTTTCTTTTTTTCCGCAGATACCAGGATGTCCTGCACAGTCAAAAATGCCTTTGCCTTTGGTGCTGAATAAAATTCAGCATCATGCCTAGAAAATGGACAAAATGATGAAAAGTGCAGCCTTAACTTAATTAAAAGACAATGCATGTCTGTATGTTTTAGTTGGATATACAATATTGCCATACAAAAATGCCTTTAAATATTAGAGCAAAACCTGCTCAGAGCAAGCTGTCTGCTGTGTCAAAGAGTAGCGGCCATGCTGCTGCCAGTGTGCTCCATTCTCGTGTTTCCAGGGCCCCTAAACATGCAAAAGGCAAGACTTTAACTTCCACCCCAGGCTGCCGCTCTGGTCTAGAGCCGGGCTCAGTGTCAGGGGGTGTGCCTGCACCAAGCTCCAGACCAGAGGGACCCAGGTCTCTTTCCAAATCAAGTTTGAAGGTGAAACAGAACACAGCATCAGAGAAAACAACTAACTATGGCCTAGGAAGTGGCTCGGGTGGGAAGACCCTCTCCATGGAGAACATACAGTCTTTAAGTGCTGCCTATGCCACTTCAGACACAACGTATCCCACTGACTGTGATCCCTTAGAGCAATCTGGGCATCCCAAAGGCACTTTGTCTCTGGGCCGGAGCACTTACCACTCTCACACTGGACCACCGGCAGCCTCCGGCAGCAGTCCTAATATTGCCTCATCCAGATCACCGCCACAACCACAGTCACGCCAATGTGGAGACCAGAGCACACACAACACATGTAGTCCACAGCAGCAGTCTGCTAGGCATCCACACACTCTCCAGGCTTCTACCTTTGATCTCCATACTGAGCTGAGAGAGCTAAGGAGAGAAAATGATCACCTAAAGCGAGAAATGGATGGAGGAAGAGAAGAAAGAATTGGTGATAACAGCAGTGCCAGTATGTGGAGCAACTCCGAGTTAAAGCAAGGCAAAGGGTTCATGCCAGAGGACAGAATGAGAGGCTCAATTCTGAAAGACCAGTACAGGAACCACCATGACCAGCACAGGGACCACGAGGAAGTGGAGGTGATTTCAATTGTGCTGAAGATGTCTGTTTTAGATTTGCTAATATTATGAACATATTATAAAATAAGCCTGACTATTACTGTAGTCTTCTCAACATTTCAGAAGACTGCAGTTTGGCAAATCTTTGGAATATACCTAATAGATTGCCAAAAGTTGTACTTTTCAGTGTCACATGATTTTTTTTTTACAGTAATAAGAATTGAAACCTACATTTGACAGACAATGGATGATATTAATTAAAAAAACAAACAAACAAAAAAAAAACAATAGAGGCGTGCAGCCCTTAGTTTCTTTTCCCCTACCTTTACCCATTCTTCGATATCATAGTTTAAATCAGCCAGAGGAAGTCTTTTTTCCTATCTGTGTTTTATCTGTGCCCACACTGCCCTGATTTATCCAGTTCTCTTATTGTTTTCCTTTTCATGTGAACATTTTTCACAGCATTTGCCCTTTTTAGAGTTTAGTCGACTGGCTGACAGGACAACTTAGTCATTAGCATAGAAAGTGTCACCTTTTCCCTCAACTGTGTTTTTTTTCCCCATTTTCTCCTGTTGTCCTCCATCTGCTTATTTTGACTTTGTGTTTACCCTGTTTGTAAAATACATACCATCCTTAAGGCCAGTGCACACACATATTCATCCATTACTTGAACAGATTGCTTACCCTATATTTCTTCTGTATTTGTAACGCACTAGTACCCAATGTATATACATTTTCCCAAAAATCTGGTCTAGTGAATGGTGATTTATCTTTTCTTTCTCTGCATTTCTTTGTTATTCCTACACATTTTTCATCATTGCCTCATGGTTGTCCATTTGCCCTCTGCTGCAGCAACCTCAAGTCATTTCCTGAGTTTTCCCTTCATTTTCAAGATAAATGTCACCTCCTCCTGTTTCAAGTTGGTAAAATATATACGTATGTATTTTAGGATGCTGTAGTTTATCATTTAATTTCAACACTTCAACACTGTTGTATATATATATATCTTTCAGCTTTTTCGAACAGTGGGAATACAAAAAAAAAAGGTTTGTTTCAAGCAACCTTCTTAACCCATTCTACTTATATGAATATGACAAAAATTTTAATCTATTTTTTGTGTTCCTTTTTAATTGCAGATTCCATTGACAGTCCATGAGCTTCAAGAGGAGATCAGAGCACATCGAGAAATGAACGGTCGTTTGAAGCATCAGTGGTATCAAGGAAACTCCCTCCTTTTGGACGAAGAGCACAGAGGGGACCACAGCCCTGGCCCCAGTCCCAGGCAGAGCCCTAGCCACCTACATAGTCCCAGTCTAAAGAAAAGCCCCAAACCCAGCCCATCCAACACTATGACCTTACTACGACCGCAAGAAGCAGATATTATCATCCATAGCCCTGCTCATGGGTGTAGCCCTGTGGGCTCTGCCCAGAGAGTGAGTCTAACCAACACTCTCCACTCAGGACCTAGAAAAAGTCCAAATGTAACTCATTACAGCTCGAGTCATGGGTCAGCTAGAGCGCCAAGCCCTAATTATCAGCAACCCTGTAGCCCCTGCCAGGTACCTGGCTGTGACTGCTGCTCTTCACCTCCTCCTCTGGATTCATCTGCAGAGAACTACTTCCGCTTACAGTCAGAGCATGATCGTCAAGCCAAAGAGCTGTTTATGCTGAAGAAAACCATGGAGGAGATGGAGAAGAGAATAGACTGTCAGAAGCAGACATTGGGGGCCCGGGACGAGAGCATCCAGAGGCTACTGGAGATGCTGCAAGGCCAGAGTCAGAACCAGAGGGGCTGGGGACAAAGGACTGGGGTTATCTCTGCAGCAACTCAAGAGGCTGAAGCCCAGCTGGAAAACATGCAAACCAGAGAGGTGAGTGATTAGTAGTGCATGGCATCCAGGTTTTATAGTTTTTCTCTGTTGTTTTGACTCATTTCTTAAAACAGAAATGACATTCTTAAAACTATCATTTGGCCAAACAGTCTGATAGTTCTGCACATTACAGCTCACCAGCAAAAGCTCATATCTCTCCCAAAACTGTTCACACGTGCTTCAAAGCAGATTCCTTTCCCATATAAAGAGTCAGGACCATCAAAATTGCAAAGATCCTTCTCAATTGCTTTGGCTCTTTTGCATTCACTTAGTGCTTTTGTCCAAAATAACCTGGCTGGTCCAGCACCAAACACCATGGATCACCTGCAAAAGCTAAAATCACTCCCAAAACACTTAACCCTTGTGTCAAAACTAAATAGAAATAGTCATTGCCCCCAAAATGCATCGTCCCTTTGGCCTTGTGTCAGCACTGCAGCTCAAAATGCTTAGATGTTTTGTCACTATGGCAGAGGTCTAACTAACACAATACAATTATGGATAAAACTGAAAAAGGATTTCATAGTAAGAGCAGCCTCCAAAGCTTGACATCACACTCTGCACTTATATTGCCAACAAAACTAACCATTTTATTCACACACATAAAGTCATTTCCATACATTAGAGTACATAAAAAGAAAATGTATACAGTATTCTGTACATGTACCAAATATAAACAGAAAAAAAAAAAAAAAAAAAAAGCAAATAAAGTTTCTACAGTAACATTTTGACTGGTCGCAATCTTCACCCTCCCTCTAATGACTGCGAAGAAGTCATCAACAGCACAAATGTTTCAATCTCCTCCCCTGTGATGTCCTCGCACGCAGCATCTATTCCATGGAGCAGGGACCTTTGGTCTGGAGCCCAATGGTCATACACTCTCCACCTCCAAGTGGAAAAAAACTCCTCAATCAGATTGAGGAAAGGAGAGTATAGTGGTAGTAGGTCCATGAGCATCTTTAGATTGGAAGTGAACCAGGCCACGGTGGAAATTCATACTGTCCCACATGGTCACACATAGTGTGATAGGAAGTTCTAATTTCACATGACTGACATTTACTGTTATGAATTTATCAAATGTTCCAAGAAAGTACATATATGGTGTTCATGATATCATGTTCTTGACTAATTTTAACAATTGAACAGACTATTGTGCATATGATGACTCAGACAATTAAATCATGCTGACATGATTTGGAGAGAACTGCCATTAGACTGAAAATCAACTCATCACTTTAGGTCAGCAAGATCTATTTCTTTGTAAAAATGTGCTAAATGTGGGCTCATTGTGCTAACTGTAGGCGACTTGTACTGAACCATGTGCAAAGATGCACTGAGACACTTGAGACATGTGCAAAGACAGTTGCAATTTGATGAAATCAGTGAGAAATGCCATTTTGTTATGAACAACTGCAAGGTGGTTTGGAGATTTGTCCATGTTGTTTGAGCCAAACCAATGGAGAAAAACTGTAATTCATGAAAATGATGATTGGTTGGTTTTGGATTGTTTGAAAGTTATGTGTGTATATATATATATATATATATATATATATATATATATATATATATATATATATATATATATATATATATATGTAGAATGTGTCACTTCCAAGTCCAAGACGGGCAGAATTATGACCAAAAAAAAAAGAAAACAAAAAACAAACACAAAACAATATGTATGTAAATAGTTGTAAATAGTTTTGTAAGTGCATTGTTTTAACTTGTCTTTTTTCTAGGGTGACAGTTTAACATCTGTGCAGTGACAACAGATGAAAATTAGTCTTGTGGCTAAATCTGATGTATTTACAGAAATGTTTATTAGTGGACACTGTCCTGGTCAAATAAATAAATAAATAGACAGACAGACAGACAGACAGAGAAAGAAAAGATAGAACAGCTGTGAAGTTGCCCGTTGGACTCGGAAGTGACATCATCACTGAACAACTGTATAAAGGGGTGATTTGTTATTCTGACATGGCATTAGGGCTGGGCCATATGGCATTGAAAATTAAATCACAGTTTGATCCATGTGATGATCTGCTATTTAGGTGGAACTGCCAAATCATGTTTGACAGATTTACTCTTTAACTCAGCTCTATGCTCAAACACAGACAGCAGCCACTACCACCTTATAGTGCTCCATTTAACCAGTTACATTACATTATATTAACATTCAAAAGAAGCATATTTCTTTATTGAGTTCTTATTCATTTTATAAAGATACAGTGTACATAAGCTCATTACTTTGCATATTTCCACAATAAATTTGAAATAGTATGATTATTAGTAGTAGTAAACTCTTGAACAAATACAAGACAGACTTAACAGTTTTCAAAAACAGTAAAACATTTATTCTTCGTATACAGACTCTATAGTCTGATACAAACCTTTACAGACAGAGGATTGCTCTAGACCTAGAAACGACTGAATCTCGACCTTGGTTAAAATGTGATAAATTGCATATGTGGCCCTGCGTATAGGTACTGATGTACAGTTGGTGTATTCTTGTCCACACACCTGTTTATTTTTAACTCCTAAATCTTCTTAGCTGAGACTCTCACTGCCGCTCTCTGAGAGCATGTAGCACTTTCTTCCTTTAGGTTATGCTTTTACTGTTTGGTTATTTTTCTTCCATGATTCTAAATGGGTGTTCTTTCAGATATGGCACCGTGGTATCAGTAGCTTGTTATCTCCCCCCTTTCCATGGACTCTTCCATGCATTTCTCTTTTCTTGAGTGTCACGCTTGAACATTTTTGTCCTGTCCTTTTGGTTTGGAATCTAAACATGCTCTGTAGAAGGTGAGTTTTTCTGCAACAGAAACTTGAATATCACACGACTAGTGATAGTACTTATGAACTTATCACATACTCTGTAAGTCATGTCTGAGTGATGGAAAATAGTGCCTTCATATTGAGGGATGAACTTTTTATCTCCAGGTGCATATATATGATTCAAATATGTGTATACATTTGTTAGATTATTGTTTTGTGTGCTGTAGTAGATTCTATTATAAATATTAAACTTCCTGTGTTGCAATACTATGAATGGACACATGGAGGCAGTGTTTGGTTAGAATTGACATTCACAGTTGAGCGTAGACATGTATACAGGTTACACACGCTGAGAGGCACAAATCTGGACCTAATCGACACTCCCCAGTCTCTAGGTCCCTGTAGACCTAATAATAACAGCTGCACCTCTGCTTTGGTGCAGTCTGACTGGCTGCCAAGGGTGCACACACGTTTTTCTGTTCAAGTCATATATACTTTATTGAAATATCATTAGAGTTTTAACTGCCTTTTGCTTTTGCTTTTATTATAACTTTGTAAGTTATTAATTAAATGATATGCTTTTCAGGCAGTTGTGCTAAATACTACTACTACTACTACTACTACTAATAATAATAATAATAATAATAATAATAATATAAACTAAAGTAAACAGACATTTAAAAGGCATTTTTTTAGACATGCTTATTGAATCACTATGGATTGTTGGGAAATTTTTATACAAGTTTATAATTATTTACTCACTTTTAATATTCATTTATTTATTTGCACTTAAACTACACTGGGGAATGATGATTATTTAAATGTATTGGCCAAGTGGTAAAAGTAGTAGTTATGAAAATATACATAACAACAGACCAAGGTGAATTAAAATAAACAAATAAAACAAAACAAAAAGAAAGAAAGAAAACCCATTAAACTTGATTACCATCAACAGTAAGAGGGCAATCTTCACATTATTATTCAGTGCTTTTTCTTTGATCTTTTCCAAATGTACATAACTAATACTTACTATGATATATGTAGATATTTTCTCTACCTTTTGGCCCTATAGTTCCTCATTGTGTTATGTAGTAGATTCACTTGGATATCTGTGTTTGTGTCTGGGGTAGGCATAGAGATACCATTAATTATTGAAAAAAAGAACGTAGGCGCATGTGCCGGCAGAAAGTGTTGCTAAGCAAAAGCATTTGAATGCCAGAGACATCTGAGACAGACAGAGAAAACATGAGATAAGATAAGAAACTGTCAAAACAGTGGCAGGTATGTTTAATCAATAGCCCTGGACATGTCCATGCTGCAGTAGTGGGATCAGGAAGGCAATGAGAAGAGAAGCAAACACCTGCTTTTGGAAATGGAATAATCTTTGAATGAGTGACAAATCCAACTGGATTATAAAAATAGTCAATTTAAGGATGTACTCTCAGATACAGTTGGTCTGCATCCTGAAAGTGTAGAGGAAAAGCAGAGTACAGATCTTAGGGTGTTTTGTCGCTGACTCTGAGTCTGTGGGAGTCAGTGTGAAGATGATCAACCGCCAGGCTTATTTTTATCGGGTCCCACCGCAGGAGCTCCATCGTCGGAACCAGCTCCAGGCTGAGCCTGTGAAAAGCAGGGCTTTGCAGACTGTCATCGATATGAAGGTAGGACCCGTTGTGGGAGCCTAGGTCAGGTCATCACTCAAGAGTTCTGCTTGAATTCAATTTTTTTTTTATATCTAATTAAAGGTCATCTAAAATGCTGAAATGTTATCTGTTTCAGTTTGTCAGTAGTAGTTTTTTTTTTTTTTTTAAGTGTGGGTAGAGGGTTAGGCTGTAAATCCAGACACAAACACACATGTAAGCCTATCACAAACAATGTTTCGTTGCTCCCTTTCGTCTGAATGGCAGCCTTGCCCAAATGAACACTATTATTGGCCCATGTGGAGCCAAGCACTTATTCAATTTGTTTCAAATGTCACATATGGAAGCTTTCACTTTTTTCTGAAGCCTTTGAAGTTGAGAGAGCTGTGAAACATGCAGTTGACTCCACATGTTTCTCTGACACACATACACTAGAACAGTTTCATTCAGCACTGATGTTCCTAAAGAGCCTCCTTTGCTGTAAAACCACAATTATTTTTACACAAGCTGTGTTTCTATATATTAACTCAGTGCACATGTTACTTAAAATATACAGTGTTCATGTGAGATGACAACTCATATTTAATTTTTGCATTTTTTGCATTTAGGCTAGGAAAGACAAAACATAACTAGATGAGAAAATGTTTTCAAAAAGAATAATGACCACCACATGTTCTAGAAACAACTCTGTTTTTGTTTTTTCTAATTACAGACCACCAACCCACCTTTTTGTTTTGACCCTGACGTTGTTTGGCAGGTAGAGTAACAAATGTTGACCTTTTAGGATGAATTAATATTTGATTATTCTGCCCACATCTGCTTGTGTTTGAAAGCAAGACATGTCAAGTTTGCAAAGCAGAGTGTTTTAAGTCAATGCCTTTGCTTGAGTTTGTGTCCTTGCATGTCCCTGGTTGGTGTTGTCCATGCAATGTGATGTCAGTATAGCTTTTCACATCTGCATGCTTCCTTTGAGAATATACTGCTACACACCTCACTCACAGTGGAACACAATGGCAGCACTGGTCTGAGGTGGGATCACACTGGCAACCAGAGTTTGTGGGTGAATCACCACTGGGCCTCAAGAGTGACAAAGCTAATGTCAAATGCTCATGATTTGTGCACTTTTTCACTGGTGGCACAAAGCAAACTATTAGTTCACTTTTCATCCAAGAGTTAGCATTTATTTATATCTGACACATTTCTGAGTGTGTCTCATAAAGCGACCTCCAGATTTGGTTGTGGTTAAATGTTTAACCTATTTTGCAGCATGTGCATTAATCATTTGTATATCTGCTATTTGTCTTAATCAAGCATGTGTCATATACATGTCACATACAATCTCTAGCTTCATTTATTTATACTTGGTCAGTCTATCGCTGACTCTTTCTGCGTGCTTTTTGTTGCCGGTTCAGGACACCAAAATCTCATCCCTGGAGAGGAACCTCAGGGACTTAGAGGATGAGGTCCAGATGTTAAAGACCAGTGGCCTGCTGCACCCTGACGACAGGCAGGATGAGCTCAAGCAGGTGGAGGTCTACAAGAGCCACTCCAAATTCATGAAGACTAAGGTAGACTTCGAAAGCTAACTGATACATGGATGATTTTCTATCATGATGTGAAGGCATGCCATAATGTGGACGACTGTTCAAATAAATACTCCAAATATAAACACTCACAGATACAAGCAGTGATGGAAGGAATATTGAGAATTTGTACTCAAGCAAAAGTACATAGCAAAAATGTCCTCAATTACATTAAAGTACTGGTGCCACATTTGTACGCATGAATAATACTACTCAAAGTACTCGTTGTTTTTTCTGCGTTTTAGTTTTTAGATGAATCATTCATGCAAAATTTTATTAATTAAACACTCTGAAACTGAATTGCCATACACTAGCAATTCACATATTGTCTGAGCTCTGGCCAATCAGAGCAGGTGATGCAGTGCTGTCATGTGTGAGCAGAGACAGCGGGGAGATTATAGGCTCTATTCACACTTACATCACAAACCAGGAAGACGTTTGGAAACATGCGATGACAACTTCCGGTGTAGTTATTGACACTGGTCTCACCGACTGACAGTGATAAAACCCATTGAAATAAATGTGATTAGCAGTAAAATGAAGACTGCATACTAGGTGTGTAACAATAACTGCAATATCATGTTGTTAGAGGTCTCACAATAATATTGTGGACCATCACAATATATCCAATCACAAGTCTCTTTGCTTAAATAAATAGTTGTGATGCAGAAATGGCTAAAAAAAAAACAAAAAAAAACAAAAAAACTACATAGACCATGATCCTTTTCTTCATTTCAGTGTAGACGACATGAAGAAATAACTGTTCTTACTTTTAAATCTTAATTATTTGGATTAAGTCTTACAAAGGCATTTTTAGTGGAAAAAGTAGCATATTCACAATTTTGTGAGCCTCCACAAAATATCGCAATAAATATTGTACCGTGGGGTTCATACCATGATGATATCGTATCGTGAGACTTGTATATCGTTACACCTCTACTGCATACGTAGGTGCTGTTTGGAATCATCTGGAATTTGGTGCCCTCATCTCGTCTAATCGCATGTATCCAGTGCGCTCGGAGTTGTGTGTCAGAGGGGAAATGATGAAAAATGAGGTATGGTTGTAACTGTTGAATAGCCAAACATTACGGAACACAGTGACATGGAGATGAAGAAAACTGGGCCTGGAAAGTTGTAATCGCTTCTTTCCAAATGTCTTCCTGGTTTGTGACATAAGCAAGAATAGAGCCTATTGGGACTGTACTCAGCAACTCCTAGTAATTTAAATTTGAATTTAAGTTTATTGTAGGTAATTGCATCAACATAGTTAGAAAAAAATCCAATTTAAAAATTTTATTTTATTAAATAAAGATTTAAAAATCAAACCAAAAAAGAACAGTTACTTCAAATTGCTTTCCACCTATAAATAGGTTTATAGTTTATTCTGTTTGATAAAATTATGCAGTAGAGCATGCATATAAAATAAGTCTTAACACAAAAGAAATCATTGTTTATAGTCTTTAGTTGGATTCTATTGCTGTTTGTGTGTCTTAATTTCTCTACTATTCTCGAATAAAGATCAACACATTATCTGCTCTTCTCTCTGTGTGCGGTTACATACTCATCCTATCAGCTTGCACTACATGGTGTCTTTTTACCAGGCTATTATCAGCTGTCAAAAAGAGCTTACAAAGGCTAACTAGAGTTCCCAACCACCAAGACCTCAAACTTTCATACTTGTGTTGAGTTTCTAGTTGCATAGTCGGGATAGCTGAAACTGCATGTGAAAATGTACCCCTGGATTTATTAAAAGTGCTCTTTGTGAGGCCGTCAGGGCGTTTGTCATTGCAGTGAGGAAGCTCCTGATGCAATCATAAAAGAGATGTTTTTGTGAATGGGCCTGGCTGACAGGTTAATGTGGGGTCGCAGAGACAGAGGACAGAGCTCTTTCCTCACCTGTTTTGACCTTGCCCAGAATGCATCACTCAGTCTGCTTGCTCTGCTCGCTCTCAGCTTTCTACGTACAGTCTGCCAGAAGCGCCATGCCCTAAACACATATTCATTTCATGTGCTCTAAATATTTAAATTATTAAAGGCTCACTCATGTGGTGTTTGGAAATAATAAAGTGGAAACAGGTCAAACTGTACTATCACGTAGCACTTTAAACTGAAACCATTTAGCCTGCTAGATAATTGTCTAAGTAATTTTTCAGGGTTTTCTGGAAAATTTAAAATAAACTGTCTATATGATGACCTCGGCTGGGTTTGCTTGGCTGTAAAAGTCTTTCTGATTAGCCGTGGACAGAGCACCTACATATGCTACAGGTTCGGGAAAGTAGAATGAGACAAAAAGACTGTATTGTTTCTTTTGGAAAATTTTGTCTTTTGCATTAACTGATCCTTCAATGCTTCAGCAACTACAGGTCCCATCCTCAGACCTTAAACCTTGATCAAACGTATCGAGATAGAGGATTAGCCTATTATGCATCTTTACATTGGTGGAGAATTAGGCCCAGTCATTCAATCATTTCCATTCTGGGTGTGAGTACGTCTATTACAATAACAAAATTTGAAGAGCAATATATTGATGAAGTTTATATAGACGATAAAACGATAATACTGAAACAAATTTATGCCCAGACAAAAGCAGACTCTAAATAAGATTTGAACCACGACACTATTCTAAACCTACAATATATATAAAATCATGAGTGGCCATAAATAAATAGCAGAATTAAAAAGTTTAATACTAAGTTTGCATCTGTATTGAGTCTTAGAAGTAATATTTGCAACTTTTTACATCTTAATTTTTGTTTTACAGCATTTTCCAGTAGTGCAAAAAATTTACATGCAAGGAATGTTGACTCCCCCAAAATATTGTTCCATCTTTCATGTATTGAACATTGATATAGTAATTCCTGCAATAACAATAGGTGTGAGTATGGTGTTGTAGGCAAACTCACAATTACATACTTGGGGTATCTTTGACAGTTTTACCTCTGGATGGAAAGAGAGTGAGAAAAGTACCACAAGACGACAGGCTGACTACACTACCACAACTCTCCCACTTCTCTTCAAACGTTTAAATATTGTAATCTTTTGAATATTTGTCATGATCACTACAGACCACAAGCATAGCTCTGTGGCTGGTTTTGGGGAGCGTGGAGTATGTGAAGTCTATAACCACTCTGGCAGCAGACCTTGTGTCATTATTGGAAGCTGGCTGTCTTCTTTGTCTCCTGTGTGTCTCTATAGGAGCGGACCTTGTCTCCATGTGTGTCTCAGAGCTCCATCAGACCAGCTCCCACCTTCCTCCTCCCTTCCACACAGCCCTGGATCACAGAGCAACCAGAAGTACCCCATCCTCATTATTTCTTTCACTTCACATTTTCTTCACCCCCTCTCATTTATTTCATTTGTCATGGTCCTATACTAATGTTGGACCATTTCCATCATCCTGGGGCTTTAGTACCTCTAATAACCGCCCCACCGTTTACCCCCGTGTCTCCTGTTACACTGTACTGGCTCTCTTGGGTTCTGTCTCTGAGTGTACTTTCTAGTTTTGGGTCGGTCACAGTGGAGAGTTCCCATGTCTCGAGGTGACCACTGCTTACACAATCAGACAAATCTCTCCTAAAATCAGCCTTGTGCATATTTGGCGCCAGTAGACAGATGGCAATCTTCAGCACATAGCCAGCCCCAGTGCAGAAACCTCCCACTGTTAGTGCATTTGATTTCCTTTGTGGTTCCTGACCTGTTCTGCAGTATATGGCATTCCTTTAATATATTGACTATGAAAGTGCATGTTTGTTTGCTCTGTGTGTTCTTGGTTGAATATGGCCTGAAAGTATCAGTCAGTAGTTCAATGCATACAACTAGTTTGATTACAGTTGTAAATGAAAATGAATTATGTATCCGGAGCTTCATAACAAGGTGTGATTTTATATTTTCTAAGCTTCTCAGTGCTAAATTGATACACATTTGATTCAACTTATGTTATTTCAACTTATGTAATTTTATTTTTTATTTTTTTATTAATAATGATTCATTATAATCATTGATTTTAAACTAGATGAAAGTATTGTTTTTAATGCATAGAAAATGAACATGAAACATATTTATAATGTGTAAACTGTTGCATTATTCTTAATAAGAATTCTTAACAAGAACCATAACCAAATCAAAATATTTTGTTAGAACAAAAGGTCAGCGGTTCCTTCATCCGGCAAACTTGCGATGTACATAGAGGTCTTTGATTCTTCCTGTTATAATGCGCTCTTTTTTAAACATGTTTTTCAGATTGACCACCTGAAGCAAGAACTGAGCAAGAAGGAGACTGAGATGCAAACCTTACAGACCAAGTTGGAGACACTGACCAATCAGAATTCAGACTGCAAGCAGCACATCGAGGTGCTTAAGGAGTCACTCACCGCCAAGGAGCAGCGTGCCAATACTCTTCAGACAGAGGTGAGTGCGCTCTTTCACACAACAACAAATGGGCATTTTAGTTTATACAATTACAAATAATAACTGTTATACAGTAAAAGAGATTCCAGATTTTTAAGTACAGTGAAGTCGGAAATTGTTTTCTTGGAGATCTTTTGTTTCCCAATTGACTATGGTCTGCTGACTATGCCCATTCATCTTAAGAGGAAGCAATTAGGGACAGAATAAGTTCTAAGTGTGCGAAGAAATGAAAGGACAACTTGTCATAAGTATAATAGAAATATGAACTTTTTTCTATTACACTAAAAATGTATATATCATCTAAAATAAAATAAAATAAAATAAAAAAAAACTATGAAGGCTTGTCATAAGAGCTTATTTTGTAGCTTATTTACAATCAGTTCTCTTTTTGTGCATCAGTTGAACCTAAACATTTGTAGTTTTAGCACATTTCTGATGGATTGTCATAATATTGCCCGACATAACCTTGTAATAAAAAGTTATGTTTTTCTATCATGACCCACTGGACTGCACTGGACATTTTAAAGTTAACATTGTTTCTGGTACCCGTAGGCTCATTCAGTTTAGAAGGAATGTGGCCAGATTGTCCTGGCACACAGTAAAAACCTTTAGTCACTGATGGACTTTTGTCTCCACTCATTTCCTTTGCTGAAGTAGCATTCTTGTGCTCCTGAACGTCTCGGGTTTCCTGAATTGAAGAAGAGTACAGAAATGCATTGCTATAGTCCACATCTCTCCTTTTCGCTACTCTTCTGTGTTAGTTTTTGGTATCATGATGCTTATACTTAAAGTAAAGTATCTGAATATCATTATTTCTCCTACCATCCATCCAGTGGTGGAAGAAATACTATATTTTGTTGCTTAAGTAAAAGTGCAAATACCAGAGCAAAAAAATACTCAAGTAAAAGTATCACATGAACACATCTACTTAAGTAAAAGTATTAATGTACCTGTATAAAATGTACTTAAAGAGTAAAAAGTAAAAGTGTTTCATGCAGATTTTGAGATCTAATTAACCTTCAGATGAAGTGATTTTAGATTTGTGCTGAATTTTGTTCAACAGAAACAGTTGAATCAATCTTTGAATCAATCAATAATTTTTCCTATCTGTTTATTTGTTTATTTGTTGTTATATTTTTGTTTGCTCAAATTATGAAATTGTTAAAAATAAACCCTCTGCCTTTTCAGCAGGTCTCACATAATAATAAAAAAATTTCTTCTACTTTTCAGTCCTGTTCAAAAATGTACTGGAGTAGAAAGTACAGATATCTGCTGTCAAATGTAGTGAAGTAAAAGTAAAAAGTATCCACTTTAAGTACAAATACCCAAAATGTATACTTAAGTACAGTGCTTTAATACTTTTACTTATACTTTACTTTTACGTATATTCCACCACTGCATCCATCCAATCAAGTTTCATTTTTAACTGCTGACAGTACTTGATCATTGCAGCCCTCCTTTTCAGGACTACTTCTCCGGCCCACTCATTTCACAGTGTTTGCAAAATGGTATAGTTCAGAAGCAGTCAAGTGTCTGTTAAGTGAAATGAGAAAATAGATCTGTGTTTGTTTCTCAAATCTTGGGAATTTCTTTAAAAAAATGTGTAAAATAAGTGCTGTGTCAGACTGTGTGCTGTTCGAGGCGTGCATGTCCGGCCTCTTGATTGGGACAATGCAGAGCAGTAACTAGAGCCCAGAGGTTCAGGTGACATATCAGAGCTTCCTGCATATTTAATGAGCCAGCAGAGAAGGCAAAGGACACAGGCTGGTTGGGTAAGCACATGACCCTGTGTCAGCTTTGTTAAAACATTTAAGTCCTGTTTATGCATTTTGTCTGCTTAGTTGTACTGTTTCTGATCTAATCAGAGATGTAAAATGCTAATGCTGATTACTCAGTTGTGTGTTGTTTTTACTCATAATATCAGTGTACAAATATGTATTATATTCAGATTTTTACATGCAAATCTAAACAGATCTGGTCATCAAACATACAAACAGCAAATTATAAGTCTCATCTGATTTCTGATCATTATTAAATGTGCACTATGTAATTCTATTGTGGAGGATCTACTACTTACTTGTTTCCACAGAGGTGTTATTTCTTTGCCTGGAATATTCCACAGAAGGGCATAAAACATATCTCCCTTGTGTTTGTTCAATTACATGTGTTTTATAGCTGAGTACCATCAATTATTCTCATGTGCAGGCTTGCTTTTCTTTAGATTCTTTTATTTCTAATCAAGGCAAAACAGTAATATCGCTATGGAGACAAGCAGTTGGCGAACACTCCACCAGAAAAGTTACACAGTGCATCTTTAAACTGTATTTTAGACTTAGACTTAGACAAACTTTATTGAGCCACAAGGGAAATTATTTGGACACAGCAGCTCACACATCACAATGTAATATAATAACAGATAAATAATGGAATAAAGAGTGAAAATATAAATGGTAATAATAAATTCTAAATAAGTAACAAAAAAGAGCAAGAGACAGGTGTGAAATAAGACATAATTATATCAATGTAATTGTACAGTAAAAATAAAATAGAAAGATACTAATAAAATATAAAATCATAGCTTTATACAAGAGGTCATAGGAAGACAGTGCAACAATGATATGATTATTGACAGGACATAGGGTTATCTTTTACATAAGGGTGAGTTGTTTTACAGTTGTAAGGAGTATTATCTGTTACATAAAGGTGCTGAAACTGCACTTTTGAATTGAAAGTGCTTTCACCACTTTTTGCAGTATTTTAGTGTATTTCAGTTAGGGAAATAGATCGATGTAATGCGGAAGTTATCAGTTATTACCAAATAGCTTTTTAGCATTTAACGTTGTGTCATTGTGTACTTGGCCTGCTCTTGGCTTTTTCATATGTGACCTCAAATATAATCTACTTTGTCTTTCATCACCGCACTGTGCAAGGTGTCTGCCAGAAGAGCCATTCCTCAGTTTTGATTTTGTGGTTAAGTTGTAATGACTCGCGGAAGATTTAAACGACTGCAAATGAATCGTCATCCATAGTGGCGTGCGGTATGTACAGAAGAAACGCTCTGGGAAAGACTTGGTGGCAGCCGGAAGAGGGATGTGGGAGCACTGAGCTGTTTGATGAATGTTGGAGGTTATGGACTTGTCAGTGAGCGATGAGAAGCTGTGGCGTGCTCTGTCCCTGTAGGACTATTTGTGTTGATCTTTCTACATTCTCATTACTGATTAATAGTTCATAAAGGCACTGAAACGGAGAGAAGATGTGGTTGACCTGGTTACGCTCCACCTTGGACCATCCCCTACTGAGTTCCTCCTTCCTGCCTCATTCCACTCTATGCTTTTTCAAATTGTCTGTCAACTCTAATTTTCTTAACTTTCTTCTTATTTCCAATTGTAGAGCCCCAACTAATGATTATTTTAGTAGTCAACCATTCGGCAATATATTTTTCGATTAGTCGACTAGTCAAATTATAAATTCCATTTTACTTTGTAACTTTTGAGATAAAAGTTGAAATATGGTGACGGAACACTTCTTATTAGAATATTTACAAAATAAATGTATTATTGATGAAGAAATAGAAATAGTTTATTGTTTTTTTGACAGTTTGATTTAATAACCCCAATGTCTTTGTTCTAAAAAGGTCTTTTCGTAATCTTGATCAAATTACAACTGCAATTATTTTTTATAGTCGACTAGTCACGATGAGTCAATTCATCATCAGCACTATTTCCAAGTTGTCTGTAATGCTTTAAAGATTTAGGGGGAGAGTTGTCAATAAAAGTGGACTCGTCGCCATACTGTCAATAAGCATAAGTGTCCAAGCAAGAAATGCAGGCCATGACCAGATCTAGCCTCGTATGAACCTAACTAACTACGGGCCCTATTCTTGGGCCCCACAGTTTGCTCCTTAGTTCCTGGTGTGGTTTGGGATGCAGTGAGAGTTGCACAGTGGCTGGGCCCCTAAGTACAAACATGGCGCGATCCAAAATAAAGCCCATGCAAGTTCTTTGGAGGCCATGTGGAAAGAACATAAAAAGAAGTTAGAGAGGTCAGAAACTGAATGGGTTATTTAATGGTTGAGTTAAAGTCAGTCAATATATGCGCATGGACAAAACACTCATACGCTACATTCAGATTGGAATAACAGAATATGCAGTTTGGATAATCACATTTCTGTTCTATGGCAACAAAGATATTGACTGTCTTTTTATTTACATGTTTTGCATCATGAACTTTGATGATCCCTCACCTTTTTGTCACCGTGGTTGTTACTGTTTGCCTGGAATTTTCCGTGCTATTGCATTAAGCTTATTTATCTTCATGGAAAGTTTCAGGAGATCTGTGGGGAGTATGTTGTAAGTAGTTTGAGCAATAAAAAAACAATTTAACAAATGCATGATAGAGAATTTAATGCCATATTGTGAAACATTCCAAGTAGTAACATCTTAAGTGGGACAAGTAGGTGGTGGACCCTGTACTAGAAAGTATAGTACAAAGTAGTACATAGTCCATACTTTAAAATCAAAGCCGTGCCATTTGCTACCATTCATCTCCCTTCTATTATTGCTGTAAAATAGCAGGGCTCTCACATTATTTTTTTTAAAAACTGAAATATTCCAGATTTTATGCAAATATAAGCGGTGGAACGGGTCGTTTCCATATGTTCGCCAGAGCATTGTGCGGTTTGCCCGGAAACAGATCCTTTGGAAAGCGGACGTGGAGCTGGCGTGCAGCACTGGAAATGATCAGGAAAAGTAATCAAAGATGGAGCAAGTGTTAATGAGGGGGAACGCCTGCTGTGGCTCTTCCTTGATGTGTGCATGTGTCTCTTGTCTGTGGATATCTCTTGGTGTATGACTGTGTTGAACAAAGTAATGATGATTAATGAGCGCTGGAGTAGGCCGAGCAGCAGCTGTTCACAGTGAGAGAGTGTGTGCTGGTTCAGTCAGATAGCCATCCTATAGTCCAGCATTAAAGCATGACATGGTTTACACAGAACACCTTTC